GGAAGGAATTCTGGAGGAAATTCTGAAAAAAAAATTCAGGAAAATTTTTCCACGAAAAATTTGGGAGAAACCCGCACGATNAAAAAATTCAGGAAAATTTTTTCACGAAAAATTTGGGAGAAACCCGCACGATGCAATTTTGGAGAAATTCTCGAGAAGACATTCTGGAGAAGTTCTGCAGCAATTCGGGAGAATAAATTCTGGAGAAATTTCCAAAAAAAATTTCTGAAGGCATCCTGAAGAAATTCTTGGAAAAAAATGGGGAGAAACTTTCAAAAAGAAATGCTGTCGAATTTACTCTGACCTCCCACTATTATCATTCATTGAATTATTTCAAATTAATTGCTTATTTATAATTAATGGTTCATTAGAAATGAACATACTCCTGACTCAAGAAGGCTTTTGGACATGTAGCATTGGACATACAAATATGCATATCCTGCCATTTCCTCCTGCCCCATAATTTCACAATCATATTTTAAGGCTTTTTTGCCTTTTTTCCACATCCTCGCAACATCTCCGGAAAATCGGGAATGCTAGGTCGTTGAATGTCAAATTTGATGAGAATCACAAGGGCCACGAGGGGAAAGTCAGTTCCGCTTCGTAGCCGTCATAGCCCACGTGGCCCTCGTTATCCTTGTGACCCTCGTGAAATCTGACTTTCCCCTCGTGGCCCTCGTTGTCCTTGTGACCCTCGTGTAATCTGACTTTCGCCTCGTGGCCCTCATTGTCCTTGTGACTCTCGTGAAATCTGACTTTCGCCTCGTGGACCTNCTCGTGAAATCTGACTTTCGCCTCGTGGCCCTCGTTGTCCTTGTGACCCTCGTGTAATCTGACTTTCGCCTCGTGGCCCTCATTGTCCTTGTGACTCTCGTGAAATCTGACTTTCGCCTCGTGGACCTCGTTGCCTCTGTGATCCTCATACAATTTGACTTTTTTGTCATGGCCCTCACTGCCCTCGTGAACCTCGTGAAGTTTGACTTTCGTTGCGTGGCCCTTATTGTCCTCGTGAGCCTCATAAAATTTGACTATCGCGTGATTAACGAAATACATTAATATTAAATTTGACTATTACGTGAAACTTGACTTTCCCTTTGTGGCCCTCGTTGCCCTCGTGACCCTCGTGAAATCTGACTTTCGCCCCGTGGCCCTCGTGGAATTTGACATTCACCTCGTGGCCCTCATGGAACTTGACATTTCCCTCGTGGCCCTCGTGGACCTCGAAGAATTTAACATTCTTCTCGTGGCCCTTGNCCTTGTTGCCCTTGTGACCCTCGTGGATTTCGACATTCACCTCGTGGCGCTCGTGGGCCTTGTGAGCCTCAGAATTTGACTATCGCGTTAAACTTGACTTTCCCCTTGTGGACCTCGTTGCCTTTGTGATCCTCATAAAAGTTGACTTTTTTGTCATGGCCCTCACAGCCCTTGTGAATCTCGTGAAGTTTGACTTTCGTTGCGGGGCCCTAGTTGTCCTTGTGAGCCTCGTGAAATCTGACTTTCGCCCCGTGGCCCTCGTGGAATTTGATATTCATCTCGTGGCCCTCATGGAACTTGACATTCCCCTCGTGGCCCTCGTGGACCTCGAGGAATTCAACATTCTCCTCGTGGCCCTTGTTGCCCTTGTAACCCTCGTGGATTTCGACATTCACCTCGTGGCCCCCGTGGGCCTTGTAAGCCTCAGAATTTGACTATCGCGTTAAACTAAACTTTCCCCTTGTGGCC